CGTCGGAGTTACTATCCCTGTATTTCTCACGTGACAATATGTCTGCAAAATGGGTTTTAGTTGGTAATGTCTGTCAAAAACTCCTTGTGTGTCCAGAAAAGGAAGTTTCAGGTTTTGGAAATTTTGGTGCAACTGATATTGGATGCAGATAATTTGTTCCATACTTCTATTCTACTATCATGTCCATTTCATTAAGTTAACTCATGTCTTCCTAAGACCTGCAAAAACACTTATTCTCCTACTCATTCTTAGACCCTACAGCCCGTCGCACAGCCAAAGCCGGCCCAGCTGCTCGCAACCGCTACGCCAGCCAGTGGACGCTGAACCGCCCACACCCCCCTGTCTCCTCCCACACTCTCAGCACTGACTGGAGGCTGCCCACACCCAGAGTTGCAGGCTCTGTTGACAAGGAAAGTGACAGCTACAGCGTCAGCCCATCTCAGGACACAGGTAAGCAAAATATCTGGAGAATGTTGCTTTGTAACACTAATCATCATCTCTAACAACAAATCAGTATCAGTTGTCTGACAACTCAAACAAAGTTGCATCCCAACAATTCTGCCACTAACTCTTGACACTAATCCCTCCGCTAACCCCGGCCCATGTCCAGACCGAGCGCGGAGCAGCATGGTGTCAACAGAGAGCGCGTCCTCCACTTACGAGGAGCTCGCCAGAGCCTACGAGCACGCCAAGATGGAGGAACAGCTGCGCCACGCCAAATTCACCATCACCGAATGCTTCATCTCTGACACTTCCTCGGAGCAGATGACGGCAGGCACCAACGACTACACCGACAGCCTGACCTCCAGCACACCATCCGAATCAGGCATCTGCCGCTTCACTGCTTCCCCGCCCAAGCCTCAGGACGTCAGCCGGGTCATGAACATGGCCGTGCCCAAGGCCCACAGACCGGGTGAGGCCGTGCTGTCAAAGGCCACAGATCTGTCTCAACGGCATGCTAACCTTTTATAACAACTAGCCTCATTATGACACTGATAACTCTAATCCCTAAACTCCAGCTTCCTTTCTAATATCAATAGCCAACCATTAACTGTGACTCTAATGCAAAATTTATTGAAGTTGATGATTGTCTCAGTTGAGTTAGACTTAAATTTGCTAAGAGAGAAATTGGGGAACCATTAAATCAAAAATTCTATCTGAGTTAAATACAATAGGACATGCAAGATATTAGAGAATTAATAATTTATACCGCTTCAAATTCACGGGGACTAATCTAAGGTGGGAAACTGGCTGCTGTGTTGAAACAGAAAGTACATTTTATTTCTTTTACCAATGTGCACGATTGAGTTTTTACATCTAAATCCGCCTCGCTTCATGTAGATGTTACCAGCTTTAAATTAGACACTGCATTCAGTCTCCGTAGAAACCGCATCTAGCAGTATGCAATGTCAGTGAAGAGGTATCATCAATCTGATCCAGCTGCTCTTGATTTTTACCTTCACTTGGATAACTATGACCTGGATGACTGAGACCCTTCACAGACACCATGTAGAAAAGCTGTGAAGCTTATCCAGATATTATTCATTCAGAAACACTAATGATTGCAGAAGGGATTCATGGTAACTCAGTTAGAAAAATGACAAAAGTGACAAATAAGCAAAGTCTTGATATGTGTAAATATAAGATGCTCAAGTGTGCATTCTAAAATATATTGAAAATCAGGCTTGATAGGGTCAACATACTGTACATAACATCCCTGCAGTGCAGTGATATAACATTGATATTCATTTTAGCAAAACAGTCTAGTCTAATAGTCATATTATAAATTGTAAGTTAATGGAGTCAACAGTGTTGGGATCACGGTTGAGGTCTTGCCTTTAAATTAGATGTGGTCAGTGTCAGAGCAAGGACACAGATGGACAGCCTGCATGTCTATGTAATCATACTGAATAAACTCTTTTGATTTATTGTTTTGATACATTGACAAAGCTATATTTTCATCACCTACGAAGGTGAGTAAAAAGATGGATTTTTTGGAGACCAAAGTCTTCTAAAACCATACATGTAGTCCGGTCCAGATGGAATGTTAGCATGCTGATAAAAAAAAAGCTACTTATAGGTTTTTATTATTGATTTTTTTATCACCTGTTTGATGCTTTTTTAATTCTTACATTTAAGATCGAAGTTCATGACTAAAATAAATTGGAGTTCAGGTGATGTCGGGCTGGAATGTGCATGTGTTTTCTCTTAGTGCTAACTCTGATCTGTGTGTGTTGTCCTGCAGGGGGCGAGTTGGTTCACCTTCCTCCGTACCTGCGCATGGACTTCCTGTTAAACCGAGGCATGTCCTGCTCGGGGTCATCCAGGGGGACAGCTAGTGGGGAGAGAGCGGCCATGGGTCAGGCTTGTCTGGAGCCCCAGAAGAGTCGCTCACTGAAGCGGCCCTCTCGCATGGCGCCCCCAACGCCCACAGAGGCCCCTCAGGCCAGCAGGGACCCAGCAGCCCAGTGGCAGCCTGGCTCTGCAGCCACACTTCCCCACAGAGAGGGCTCAGAGCTGGCCCAGGCCGCCAAGCTCAGCACCTCCCAGGAGTCCCTGCTGGACTCGCGAGGACATCTCAAACAGAGCAGCAACCCCTACGCAAAGTCCTACACGCTGGTATAACAGCAGGGGCACCTAGGGCGGGACTAGAACTCACTCTAACACTGGACTTAACACTCAAGTGCAGTAAACTGACTTTCACCACGCAGTTCTGTATATACGTCCCCCCCTCCTAGGTCGGGGTCACTTTTACTAATCTCCTTTTATTTATTTTAGAGCTTTCTTTTATCTCTTGTTTGTATTATTTTTTTTGGTTTGTTTTGTTTGTTTCACTTGAGAAAAAATTCACTCATCGGAAACGACTCCAGCCGGAGCTTTGCCAAACTAATTGAGTAACGAAGGAGCATTATTTATTCTTAATTATTGTTAATTCTTTATAATTAATCAGTGATTATTAATTGTTAGTTGTCAGCTATTAATGATCATTAATTATTGGTTACCAAATGATCTATTATCACCATTGCTACAATGTTTTAATAAGAACCCGGACATTTTATTTTTTTCTGGAGTGGAAGATGACAATTTGGAGTCATTTTTTTCCTATGGAATATCCTTCTGAAACACTGAATGAAACTTGGGAGAAATCTTGGAATGAAAGCAATTGACACCAGTCCAAACTTTTCAGCTGCTCTCAAATTGTTACTTTTTTTGAAGAAAAAAAAAATCTATTTCCTATGGTTGCATGGGGACTGACCAATTAAAAGACAATGAGGATTACGATCGTGGCTGGACAGCCCAGTCGAGCATTTTGTCACACTATGAAATGATCCAATGTGAAGATTTATTATTCTTATTACTATAAATATATATATGAAAAGAGAAATCACTTTTATTTGTGGATATTACAGGGAAGAATTGATTTGGTTAATAAAGTCCTTAGTCATGTTTGCACATCTCGTTTTAATTAGGAAATGGAGTCTCTGTTGATCTTTCTCTGTGTCCCATTATCTGATGGTGCAATATGAAAAAAGATATGAAAAGTATATGAAAACTATTGCTCTATACTGTACTGTAATGATGAAAAATAACTATGTTGTGAGTATACTTACAGGGCCGGACACTCTCCAGCTATGTATTCAGGTGTAGTTTACCACTGCTTGTTTGCCAGGGTGGTAAATGATGTTAGCTAGAATAGAGAGGGTTTAGAGAACTAATGGTTTGCACTTCACAACACCCCCGACTCAAGTGTGTCCAGATAGATCCCCCTACTCTCAGTGCACTAGGTAGAGTCTTCAGGGCTCTCACTCTCCTCAGTAGATTTACTGTTGCTGCATTGCAGTGACGCTCCTCTACAGGGAAAAAAAAAACGTGAGACAATCCAGCAGAATCCCCCCTTCAAACCAAACCTATAATGTCTATGGGAAATATAAAAAAAAAAATGTGGATATACGTAAGAAGATGTTTTTCGTTCCTGTCTACCCTGGCCCATTTCTGTTCTTTCTGTTTTTTTGAGTTAGCCTGAAGGGAGAAGAGTTTGATCCAAAATGCTGTGAGGTCATTATGTCAGTTTCTATGATTAGTTTCTATGATTAACTGTCTTCATTATGATTATACATTTTAACAAAAAAAAAAATGTCACTTTTTATTTTTAACATGAGTGTTCACCATGGTGGCACTGGAATAAAGAGAAACTAACACACAGTTCAAATTTGATTAATAAAATGGCTGTTCCCCAAAGTGTCCTCCACGGGTTTGACATGAGTGACTGATGGTGCTGTGGAGATGAAGCAGACGCACGGAGAGCGGGTTGAGGCTCTGCTCTCTGGCTGTTTGGGGCGTGAATATCACCTGGAGACCATGAATCCTCACTTGTGTTCATCATGACAGCAGTGAAATGTCTCAGCAATGAGTTTATTAATGTTGCTCAGTCAAATCGCCTGCAGGGGGCAGTGCTGGAAAGGGTTATGTTGCTCATCAATCCTCTTCCATGAACTTTCATCCCAAATCTATGCAGCCAACATCAGCCTGCTGTGTGAAGAGTGCGATTTGGAGAGTGCCTCTGAGAGGTTACTGCAACCTGACAACTTAAAAGGATACAGGCAAACAAATTCAAAGAAATAAGTACACTTATTTTAGACATTTGTTGGTGAGGCAGTTTGTATTTCTTGGCCATTTTGTTATTTGGTGGGATGGTTTGTTTTGGGGTTTTGTTTTTTTTAGTCCCACCAATCATTTCTTCCTAGTTAGGATACTCTCAAAGACGCAGGGAGGGAATAATGAATGAATTAATGAGCAAGTTTAGACACATTTCTGCACTGCTGCAGGGTCAAAGGGGGACATTTTTGAGAGATCAGTGAAGATCAAGAAATGTCTGTGTCAGCAGTAACACAGAATCCAGTTTCCACATCAACAAGGCCCACAATGCAGTGCATTTAGGAAATGGAAGAGCTTCTCAAGGCTCATAAAAAAACGTATTGCATCATCTCCTGTTAGTGTAAAGTATGCTTATTGCATAGTAACTGCAAACACAGTATATTGTAAAGATTGGTATTTAACTATATATTGTATACAATTTAGTAATATATATACTAAACATAATTTCTAGAAGACTGGGTTGAATTACTGTAGGATGTATCATAGAGTTGAGACATGTCCCAGATCCACCTGCTAGCTGGTAAGCTAGATTGCTAGCACTTGGTCACAGCCATTAATGTTGTAGCTGTCAAAAGGCATTCTGGGAAATATATGCAATCACAGGGCAAGTTACAACCATGATAATTAAAACGAGATTAAATCTATCAGTTTAAGAGTGTCTGAGGGTAAACATCTCCTTTAATAAATTCAGTGTACATCACTTCTAGAAATGATTCATTCTTAAGATTAAAACAGCGTAAAGTGTGAAGTTATATCCTCTTTAACATTATAAATAAATTCCTTCCTAAACCAGATGACTCTCCAACCTGCCACTCTGGAGCTTCTGCCTCGGCCTCACATGTCTTGCCTGCTAAATTGCTTCCATGGTCTTATATCACAAGACAGGAGGGCGTGACAACTCAGCATGACAACTATATCTGTCATCCACCTCTGAAGTCCACAACAAATTAAGCATGGTAACAGATTTACTTGATGCCACACTTGGCAGTTAATAACTGCTGTCATAAATAAGGTTCACGCAAACTAAATTACTCCCTCTGATCAGCCTGAGAAATATGAAGGTGTCGCTGGCAGCGCTGGGGAAATTATTCTGAAAATGTAAAGTAATAAACATGGATGTCTGTCCCAGAGCAATGAGCACTCGACCTTCCTGAACAGTTAGCAGCTGAACGTTGCCATTGTTTGTTGGATTCAAAGATATTGTTTTCTCCTCTCAAATGAATTTATTGGGTTATTGAGAAGGATTTCAGGGATTTCTTCTAGATTTTATCTAATATGGCACTGAGGAATCTCTGTACAATACAGTATGACCTGTTCATCCTCACAAAAGATAACAAATTCACTCTGGTGCACACTCATTTATACAGATCTGATAGAAAGTGACTTCTCGTTTCAGCAATTCCAGTCCAATAATTCTTCTGTGTTTCTGTGACAGTTTTTAACCAATGGGCTTTGCAAATATTTTAATGTAACACACCTTTCTGTGTAAGAGATAACTGGTTTAATAAGTGCCATTGTTCTTCTTCCACTAAGATTTATCTAAACATGTTTTTACACACATACATACAAAAATGTATCATTACTTAATTAACTTAACATTTATTTCTTTATATTCGGTTGCTCATATTCTAAATAACACCAAGTGACAAAAAAGAGCAAAACATGGCTCATCATTTTCTAACAATGTTGTGGAGCTACTAATGAGAGTGGAACATTTCTGGAGAGCGCTGTAACCTGTTGGAAACATGCAGCAGTGAGGACACCGTTGTTACACTCTTAACTCACTTTTCCCCATAAAATGTTACTATGGTTAAATTCTTCCAGAATGTGAACATTTTCTGCCAGAGTTAATGGAGATGAGCGGTCTGACGTGGTTTCTTAGTTCATAGCAAATTAGTCCTATTTAAAGTAGTGAAGAGCTAGACAGCTTTGCACATATTTATAAATCTATCTGAAGTTTGATCCGAGCCATACTTAAAGTTTATCTTTGTGAAACCAGCCCCAGGTCCATGTGGGACGCTCTGAAACCCAACTCTTAACAGTAGGTGGCTAAAAAGTATTGTAGTCACAAGCTACTTTGCAACTTTAATCCAGAAGACCTGGATTCATATCCAGAAGTCATTGCTTGTTTCTGTTAACCATGACCGTACTTTTTGCCTACCCTTAACCAAATGTTGTAGAAGGTGGATCTAAACACACTCATATTTATGAGGTAAATGGGTATAGAGACATGTCTGTAACCAATTGGGATCAATTCTAACTGTACTGACTCCATTATATGTATGATGAAGTGCATCAGTGCTTGATTTTTTTGCATTTAGAAATATTCCAAAATGCTTATATTTATTTTTAAATATTATAGATTGTAATAAATTAATTTGAATATGATCAATTGCCCATGCTGCACATACTGTGTGAATAGTATGGTGGATAACATGACTGCAGCCACATCTGCTAACCAGAAGCATTTGAAATCAAAGGAAGTAAATCAACTTGCACTCCTTTCCATTGTCTTTATTTCTCTCTCTGTATGTGCACTGTGTATGCATGTATGTGTGTGCGTCTGCGCAAGCTTGCATGCATCATTGTGTGTGCTTGTACATTACACATGTGTGAGCCAACTGAACAATGTTTAAATGTCTAAATCACGTTGGAACAAGAACAGGGAAAGAAAAACAATTGGAATCGAATCACGAGCACATTGCATTCTCTACAAAGATACACAACTCAGAGAAGTCAAGTCAGTCAGATGAAAAGACACAATGAGGGGACACCTCCGATGTCAAAACACAAATTAGACAATGATTTCATACCGTGTAAAAGCACCGGCAACTGTATGGGGTCATTTTACCCAGCTAGAGGGACACGGCATTAACAAACCTCCAGTAGAGCTGAAAAATCTTTTGATTATGACGCCTTGCTAGGACTGTCGATGAAATCATGAGTGTCAATCATTGCAATGCATGTGGCTTTACATTCCTCCTGAATAAAGATAAGAATTTTTAACAATTTATGAGAAGACTTATTTCAGTTTGTTGTTATCATGGGTATATTACATGGAATGTGACAAAAAAACTAATAAAACATTAAGCTCTACTGCTGCTACACTGTGAAGTGTCATTGAAGTAAAAAACAGAAATAGCAAAATTATAAGAAAGATTTAAATACATACACCCAGAATTTGATCTTATATATCTTTTGTATATTATTGTCATTGTAAGTTAGTAATTACACACAGACTATCACAAAGATACTATCTAGCCCCAAACCACACCAACCCTGACCTCCACCTTCAGGAATCCCACCCCTCCTTTTCAGTTCATGACGGTGCAGTTTGATTGACATGCAAGACCAGGCCCACATAAAGTGAAGACGCAGCGTACAGTGCCTGCTCTAAGACTTCACATCCTGCTTCTTTTTCTGGAATTTCCTGAACTGCGACTGGATGGCCACGGCGGCCTTCTCAGTCTCCGGATCTTGCATGTCGATGTCAAAATCCTGGGGGACGTTGTTCTTCTTCTCATCTGGGGAGAGGAGAGGGGGGGAAGGGTGAGAAGATTGGCGTGTCTCAGTCGTCTTACGAAATTGATGGAGTGAGACAAACTCTTTTTCAAACTCTTTTTATGCTGTTTATGATGCAACATTCTGCAGATTTCCCTCAAACTGCCTAGCAGGTACTTCTAGCTTCCCCTATTTTCTTCCCAGGACTTTGTATTTAGTGCTAACTAGCAAACGTTAGCATGCTAACAGACAAGAAATTGAACATGGTAAACATTACCTGCTAAAATTCAGCATGTAAGTATTGTCATTGTGAGCCTTTAGCTCAAAGCACAGCTGTGCATGGCTGTAGACTCTTAGTCTTGTTGTGTTTCTGTCCCCGTGTGAAATACCAAAGCTTTGAAAAAGCCAGACAATGCATCGGCATTTGACCCTTCTACGTCCGTATGAGACACCCTGGGCTTTCAAGTAACTCCAATGTAACCCATCCGTCGTCACATGATGTACTTATTTCAACCCAAAACCATGATCTTTTCCTAAACCTAAAGGCGTTTCATAAAGACGCTGAAAGGTACCCGTGCGTCAAATACGGACGCTTTGACAGGCTTTCTCATAGCGTCAGTATTTGATGAAATTCGTGCTTTATCAGTATAATGAAGTATAATGAAGACAAAAGATTTTTGAGAGCACAAAACAAATTCGAGTGCTATTCAGTATGCAAGAGGACATGGATTTTGTTGTCTCATTATAAAACATATATACATAGAAAGGACTATAAGGATGAAAACTAACTGTTTGGTAGCAAATCAGCTTCCCTGACCTTTTCTATGGGAACCATCCGGGACGGCCTCCCATGCAGTGGCTAAGCCAGTCCCAAAGTGGCTGCCGATAACTACTATTTTGTGATGATCTTCCATTTCATGGCAAAGAGTTAGACTGTTCTGTAATCCTCCTTTAACTCTATCCATGTCAGGGTGGAAAAGAAAAATACTTGACACAAAACCTCAGGATTAGGGATGGGTAACGCTACTCGATACCTTTATGGTAATAACCGACACAGCCCGGTATCGAGTAGAATCGAAACGTCTCCAGTCAAACCAGCACTTCAATCGATACTTTTTGTAACCAGATCCGGCAAAAAATTACTATTTGTATGCTTGATTTTAACAGCTGCTCACCTTCGGCTGCGGTCTCAGGCATGTTCATCACTGTTGCAAGTTTCACCACAAGCTTGGCTTTCCATTGGTTTCTGGTATCATTTAACACTTCTCTGTACATTTTTATTTGCAATTCACATCACCTGTCACTGATCAATCGCTGCATTCCATCACTGGGACTGGTATTTTTACCGGTATCGTAAAATTTTTAAACGATACCCAACACTACTCAGGATGCCCCCTGCCTCACCTATTCAAAGAGAGGGCAAACTCTGGGAAGGGAAGCTTATAAAATAACTGTTATTTAACATAAACGTAACTGAACAAATAAATGAAGCCATAAAAAGACAATAAAATTTTATTGCAGCATTTTACAGGGATTTTTCTCTGTTGCGGTGTTAAAGGAGTGACCAGCAAGGCTAACGAGGCAACTCCACAGTCTCTCTCCACAGTCTGATAGAGAAGACGTTGGTCTTTCATGACAGAAGACAAACTCTTCTAATCATCAGGTTGTACATAAGCTGCCGTCTTTTCAAAAACAGCAGCGGCCTTATAGTCAAATTTTAATCCTCCTGTGTGAAGTGAATGAGTCATGCCTCATTAAAAGTAACACAAACACTGCTGATTTAAATGTTCAACATCACAAAAACATTATCATATACATAAAAAAACACTGAAGTCAACCCAGTGCAGACTGCTCAAACACACATGAAGAAAATACGGGGTGTGATTAAAGCAAGTGAAAAGCTTAAGTTTTATGGGATGTGACAGTCCATTGTTTATTCAAGCAACACAGTTGTCATGCAGTACAGTGCTCCGGGCATGATTGTGCTGACCTGCTGTGCGAGGTGTGCGCTCTAGCATTAACAGAGATTTTTCCAAATGGCCTACTTACGTTTAGATGGAACCTTTTGTTGAACTTGAAGCCCTTGGAGGATAAGTGACAATAAAAACGGTTTCATGATTGTAGAGGTCACACAAACCTCCCTGTCTCTGTCACACACACACACACACACACACACAGCTTCCTTCTCTAAAATTACACCTGCACCACAGGGTCGACGCCCTTTAGACTACAGAGGGCACAAGACTTTATAAGGAAGGCACATCACAGTTCCAGTAACGTGTTGTGCTGCTGCATGAATAAATCAAATTGCACAATGGATGATGGGATTATTTCCATAAGAGGTTTGCGAAAGGTCATGTTCAAATTGGTTCCTGTGATTCAAGGCAACAGAGAGTATATGGACAATGATGGATGAAGGCTCAGTCTCGAGAAAACTAACCATGAAACCACATAAAGGTGACATGCGAAGCTAAGCGACGCCCGTGAAAACCGAACCACAAGCTAGACTTACAAATAACAGAAAAGAGACACATTCATTCCCTCAAACTGTCACGTACTGTTTCCGTAGGAAGGTAGGGTAAGTGATTTTCATAAAGACGTGATGCCCTTTTAGTCAATCCCAACAGGTCAGCCTTATTCAGTATCATAAGTCATTGTTAGTTCATGAGCTAGTTGGCAGCTGGATGGCAGATAGCTATCCACTTGGGATATTATAGTCTAGCTGTCCATTGACAAAGTTGTGAAACATAATGTTTATAATGAAGATAATTGGGGTAAAAAAGATAATAAATTAATTGGGAATATTTTTTATTGTATTAAGTATAAATAGACAGCTGTAATTTCCATTCATTGCTTTTACAGTTGATCAAATACAGCAACATTCTGGTCATGTAAGGCCAATTGATTAGTTTTTATATTACTTTAAAGCAACAGTATTTTTAGCTTAGTATGCTAACATTATTCGATATACATGTGTGCAACCGGCTCAAGGTTGTACTGCACAGTCCTGACACAAACTTGCGACCTCGGGATGGGAGGCGGACGTACTAACAAGAAGGCTTAAACCCATGGGTGCTAGCATTTATTGCTAGCATGTCTAGCTGGCAACTGCTACATCTGCAACACAATGCATAAACATCTTTAACACAAGGTCGGAAATGTAACGTCTTCATATTAGGACTGACCCCAAATAGTCGAAGATTCGATGGGCAGAGCCTGATTCGTCTGTCAATCTCACAGTCTGAGCTTCGCAGCAAAACAAGGATCATGCCATTTTGGGGTGCTCAACATCTGATTTTACATAGAACTACCAGTTTTCTCCCAATAAGTTAATATACAACCTATTACAATATACATGTCATTGTTTAATGCTGTAAATACATATGTAAAAAGAATAAAACTTTCGATAAATGTTTTTAAAGTGCATGAATAAATCAAAAATTGTAACCCTAACCCTGGGGCATCAGTGCGCATGTGTAGGCATAGCGTGTACGTGTGCAGTGGCAGAAGAGACCGAGCCCAAGCTTCACTGGTGTTGTGCCGAGTTGTTCACACAAGATAAAAGCGGACCTACCATGTGTAATTAATAATAATTACAGGGTATATAAACATTGTTACTGGGCAACAGAGTAGGAAAATTGGGGAAAAGGGGTTTACAGTGTTGATATAAGAATTAAATTAGTTATGGTATCATTTATTGTATTTCAAACTTTTATTTATATGGACTACTTACAAATGTAAAGTTTTTTAATAAGGAGTGCAATTTATACTTATGCGTCAAATCGACGGCGTAGCCTCTGTGTAGCCCCCTACCCTACACCGCCACCTACGGTGTAGCCTGAAGTTTGACGTTCACCTCCTCAAAAATGTAACTACACGTCGAGTCGATGTCATTGGTCGGCTGGGTAGCCTCGCAATGCCTCTGAGCCGACAGGAAGTGGCTGTGCTTTGAAGTAACTTTTACTAGCGGCTAAAACAGCGGCTGTAACATGGTGGATCAGTATATTTGACCGTCACAACCCGAGCAAAATGACTCGTTTCACTATCAGAATGTGATCCATTCGGTTGATAACATTTGAAAAGGCTACACCAGCCACACGGATACAATTTTACCCCCATTCACGTTAGCGGAGGGATAAACCGGAAGTTAGCCTGCTCGGCCGGCAAAAGTCAATAGAGTGGGCGCTGTAGCGCTACCGCCGACTAGCGTTTGGGGCTGTAATCGCAGAATGACGGGGACACTGACGCACAAGTATAAATGCATGGCTACGTGCGTAGCCTATGGCGACCTTACAAAGGAGTATAAATCAAGCTTTAGTATTATTGGTGCTGTTCCAGGCTGCTGTATAACAAATACTTGTACAGTGAAAATTATTTCTAGATCCCTCCAAAACACAACTATGTGTTTCCCTTGAACCCACCAGTAGGTAACCATTGTTTCATCCATGTGTACAAAATATTTACTGAAGTGAAACCTTGGACTCTAGGCTGGACAGCCTTCCTTTCTTAGCAAGAAAATGCATACTGTTTAATTAGATCTATGAAAAAAATCTTACTCTAACATGATGGTATAGAGAAACTGGTGATACTCTGTGGCAAAATAAAAGGTAATGATCAGCTTTATGGATCTATTGATTGCCTCTGAGAAGTTGCCTATTCCAAAAAGAGGAGGGGCACACTGGACTTGAGGGATCCTGACGTTTCTGTGTAATGCAATAACACACGTGGATTTGCATGTACACAATAGTACATGAGGAATAGAGTGTAAATATGTGTATTATGTGTTCTTTTAACAACTGTACTGTACAAAGGATCAATTTGCATATCACTCATACCCTTCTCTGTTGTATTTTAGGCCCATGATGTTTGATATTGTGATGTGTTGAGCATTGTGTAAATTAATATAGTAAATATATTTAATTCATATTTCCTGAACTGTACATGTAGCCTATGAGAGGTAGAGTTCAGTAACTCTCCTAAACCAAAAACAATGGTAAGAGGTAAAAGTGTTAAATTAATGCCGTTCACTCCTCTAGTAAATTCAATTAAGCTGCCCAAAATCCCTCCCAATCACTGCCGGGATGTTTCCCTCTGGACTGAGGCTGAGCTGCAAAACACTTCATCATCCGAGAAGTTGGGACAGGAATCCATTTCAACACGAGGTCTTAACAGTGTTATCAGCAGCCCCAGAGAGAGAAGAGAGGTGACACATGGTCTCTGTGCCGAATAGGGCCATTGAGCCATTTAGCAGTGAATGGCTGCTATTAACCTGCTGCAGCCGTTGCATTAGGAGAAGGTTGACTTCAAGGAGTGGAGGAGATTACATTCAGTGATTCCTCTGTGTATTGTATCGTATGCTGCCATGAAACCTAATTTTCTAAATGTGCAGACTACATAAAGCCCTTAAGAGATATACAGTATCTGCTTGCATGGTTGAAGCAAGGAACCCTGTAACATGACACAACCAGTTAAACGTACATTCATGATAACATTTCAACTTGTTTTAAAGCTTGGTTTGCATCTGCTTATTCTGCACACCAGAGAGGAAATGTCAGATTGATTCACATTTGTCTCACCCGAGCTTAGGTCATGAAAAAGCAATTCGCAGGTCTGAGGTTTGTTAGAAACACGTCTTTGCTCTTCCACTTTACACCATTTATGAATTTCAAAGGATCCTACCAAGTATTGCCAGCCAAATTGTACCATGTATAACTCAATTTTGAATTAAAAAACAAAAGAAACAAAAGAAAAACATGAGAAGATGTAAACAAAAGTAAGTATAAAATCATTGTCATGACATTCATTCATGATTATAAAAATGTGATTGATTAATTAATAAAGAGCATGAAACACATGACAGTGATAGTTATGAAAAATACATTTAACAATAAATCTACATAAATAATTGTAAATAACAGATACAAAATAGGTAACAACAACTAGGTTAAAAGAAAAACACTATTGGACCTATAAATAATTCTCAGACCTTGGTTTATCACACCATCTGTGTGGAATTTGAAAGAGAGCTCATAATTAACAGTAATACCAAGGCATTTTATAGAATCCACTATAAAACGCCACTATAAAGATAAGAAAGACCCTTCACTAAATGTAATTGAAAAGATCTGCTGTGCCAAAACTCATACAATAAGATGTGTTTTCATTAAGAGGCTGCTTGTTGGCATGAAACCAGGTGTGTACAGTATCAAAGCCATAGTGAAGTGAATCCTGAATAAATGAATTTGAGTTTTTGATCTACACATCATTTGGTTTAAGAGATCAGAGGGGAGATACAAGGTCACATTTACAATGACTTGCTGATAAGGATCTTTATTTACATCTATTTTAAATCTAATTACAATCAGAGGAACTGTAGAATTTGAGTTTTAATTGGATCTACGCTATACAAATATTACAATTAGCCTGTTGATGCTTTGTTGCACTCACTCTTGGGATTAGAGAGGTTTCATTTTTTCTTTTTTTAACAAAATCTGTATGGTATAAACTTTGAATACTTGGTATCATCTAAAATGGGTCTTGGTGAACTGTGAAATCGACTGATGTGAAGAACAATTTCAGTCTGTGAGACATGATGGTAGTTGAAAATCTTTCCATTCTAACAAAAGGGCAAAACAAGCTATATTGCTGTTCTTTTACTAAATATAATTGAAATGGTGTCTACACCACGGTGGTTTTGGTGAAAACAGCACATCGTTTATGTTCTGATGAATTCAGACTAAAAATGATAGTTAGAAAATACCTTGGCCAGCAGATGGTTTGCTGTTTCCAGTCATTGCTCCTGATGCTTGTCTCTGGAAAAAAAAAACAGAAAATATGATCATCATTTTTTAAAGATGAAGAAAGAACACAATATAGGAACACTAACCCTCCCTCCTATTTGAATTTGTTCTTTTTCATATAATCCAAAAAATGCTCATTTGCATTAAGTTAAACAATTTAATTCCAAGATCTGTGTTGATAACAAAACAAGAGTTCTTATGCTCCCAACAGAGAGAGCGTCATAGGAAGTCTTCCTCACACTAAACCCAGTCATACTGAACATGTTACAGGACAGTCTCTGCTCTGTGTGAAGGGAGCTGTGATGAGATATGTTGATCTTTGTTGATCTTTGTTGATCTGATGTTTCTGCAGCAGAGGGATGCTCCCAACAGGCAACATCACAAGATGCACTCTGCTCCGGAAATAAGACCGCTTCCGAATGCAGAGACACTACAGTTTGTGTGAGAAGGTTTGCTGCAGTTGCATCATCCAGATCTTGAATTTGTTTGCTTGCAGAAAGATAATTTTTCAGCACACAGAGTTTTACTGTGGATAACATCTTCAAATCATTCCCTTAACTTCCAGTTTTCTCCAAGATCAATGTGTTTTTAATTAAGAGCATAATTCATGCACACTGTATTTCACAGATTCATCAGCTCAGCAGAGACCATCTCTCCATCTCGCCAGCCTGAATCGTTAATCTTGTGCTTTTATTTTTGATGTATGTGAGTTAAGCGGCAACAAAGCAAATTAAAACTGGCAAAAGAAACCTGATCTTCCTCCCATGTCCCCGTGAGCCGTTACGAGAGCCAATGGAAGAAAAACTAGTTTGGCAGCGTGGCCATCTGTTTTTCTGTTTACACGCAGAACTCAAAGTGAGTTGATGCCGCTGGGATTCCCAGCACCACGCTGACTCTCATCTGCTTGATTGTGCTCCGGTATCGAGCGAGGCAGGAGCGGTGCCACACACTGATGCTGCCATTCCTCACACCTCCGCCCACCAGGACACAAGCAGCCAGAGCGGACGTCCGGGAGCAGAGTAACAAAAATGTTTGAGTGATTGTGTCGGTGCAGATGGAAGATGCAGTGCAGTCACAACTTTCTGATCCTCGTTTCTGTCATTTGACTTCATTTTAATTTTTTTCTTCTCACATCTGTTACTTACTCTTCTCTTAATCCATCCTCTTAGTCTCTCCTGCTTTGACCTCTATCTTCAACTAGCCCTCTCATAATCCAGAAAGATATGAGAGCCTCTAATCCAAGTTTAAAGAGTTAGAATTTTTCCATATTAGGTCACATGTCAGCTAGAAAATGATCTCCCTGATCACACTAAGAGGAGGTGTGGGTGCTATTTGTGTCTGTGGTGGGCAGCTGTGTTGTGATAGAAGTCTCCTGAGTGAGATTATTTTTGTCTCTAACTGGAACATGTGCTCTGTATTTATCCTGCATTAATGCAAAAGAGCCAATCCAACTGTTCAAAGTAAACATATTTGTGATTGATGCGTCAGAATCATGAGAATATGTCATCAAGGTGCCGCAAAACCCTTGGCCTAATTGCTTCTAATCTTTGAGTTTCAGATTAGTGGCTGGTCAGAGAGAAGTCACTGACTGGAAAGCAGCCCTGCAGCTGGTGGAGAGATTCAGTGTTTTGCTCACGGACACGGTTGCCCCAAACCTTTTTATGACGGTGTGTAAGATGCTGTGACTGGAAAGCAACAGTAATGATCTAGTAGTGACCATATCCCTATATAGACACTGCTTTTCATCCTCTGCTCTCCTTTTTACTTCCTTTCTTCTCTATACAGTACATAGATCATCATCACCAGCCTCCTCTCTCTCTCTCTCTCAAACTCTCCTTTTTTCTCTTTCTGCCTGGATACAGTCAGAGCTTACATAACAGCTACAGTCCTAATGTGCAGGGGAGAACGCTCCATGCATTGGACAAATTCCCCTTTCTACACAATTTTTCCTCCTCAGTGGAGATTCTTTCTCGCTAATTTCAGCACATTCTTTGCTTTACTGCGCCTAATGAACATGGAGGAAACAGCGAGCATCTGCATAAAAATTCATGAGGATTTTCAGAAGCAACGGGTGAATTTCAAATGAGATGTTTGTCATGGCCCATCTCGGTCTTTGCTCAAGCTTGGCACTGCTTGATTCCAAACACTTGCTCATTCAGTTGTTGAGGAGGTATTGTCGCTTTGTTTGCAAGCAGCATTTATGACTACTCAAAATCTCAATAAATTTTGAATAGCAAAAGAGAAAACAGTAGTTGAGCGGGTGCAACAGTGCGGATGTTTGCCTCTTTTGTATGTGAATCAAATCAACTGTAGGATATCACAGCTGAATGACGTATTTTCATATCAAGCAGTGCACAGCCTCTTGAATGACAAACTGCCAGAAGTCAAGCCTCATCATGTTTGAGGTGAGTCCTCCCTGGCAGGAAGGTTTCGTCAGTTTTTGTAAAGCTAAACAGCTGTAAACATTGAAACGTTGCAGCTTTTGTCCCTTACTGTTAAGTCTGCCACATTTTGCTTGTTTTGCAATGCTACAGTAGGGGAGAGCAGGGGCAAAACCATTTTTCAGAAAAACCTGATTTTAAAAGATTACATTTCTTCAACAATATGAACAATATGAAAATGAATTTTCTGTTCAGCTGTTTTTATACATAATTCCAAAATGTGGATGAAAACATCTAGCTATATCAGACCTCTGTCTGTCTTTCTGACTGTCACTGGCATAATGTGTTGGTGTAATATAACCGCCAAATATAATTTTGCAATATCAGTCAAGTTGTCCTGACTGAACTAGTTGGTTAGGTTTAGGATCATGGTTTGGGTTAAAATCACTGCATGATTTACTGTATGTGACATAAATTATGTAAATTTAGTAACGTTACTTGTGTAACTTAACTAAAAACAATCAACGTTGACTCCTGGGTGGACTTTCAGTGGGTTTCCGACCCACTCGTCTACCGCAACCACCTTCTTACTCTGACTTTTCTGTTAATCATCACAGGACTACTTTTAGCGTTGAACAATGACACTAAAGGGTACTACGTGCCTTGGTACCAGAAGCCGACCCCCTGCAAGGTCAACAGATAATTCCCTAATTCCCAGAAAGCACAACACATGAAATCTTACTTGAAAGGTGTCCACTGGACACAATAAACTCAATGTGCCGACTTAAAGTTGCAGATTGTAGTAGAATACCTACTATCTGTTGCCTGCAAAGATCCACTACAAATGATGACACGGGAGTCATTGTGTTAGTATGAACAGGTCAAAGAACTGAGAGAATGATTCGGTATGATACGCGCAAGCATCAGCTGTTAATGTAGCACATCTGAACTCCTCTCTCTGTCTATGGCCATCCACTTTTCATTAACCCTCACACCTGTCAGCTGTGACCTTGACTTAAACCCATCTATGTCTCATTTAAAGGATCACGTGTGACACAGAAGCTGACAAGGGACACCAAGCTGAGAAGCCTGCTCTCATGATGATTGGCAATAAATGAGCAGGTGCCACAGGAGCTTTTGCGGCATATAATTAGAAAGACAGGAGAAAAGAAGTAGAAGGAGAAGAATAAGAAGAAAGTTTATAGCACTAGAAATACTACGGTTAGAAACACTTTGTACAATGCTTTACAAAAGATTTTAAAAAGCAGGTAAAATAAACAGCAGTTAGAAGTGAGAAGTATGAAGACTTGTGATAGTAAGTGAGTAGAAGTGTCCCTAAAAAAAGAGTTCTGAAGGGTGATTTGAAAGATGAGATTTAGCCAGGCTAAGCCCCTCAGGCAGGTCGCTGTGAACTCTCAGAGCGCTGATGGCAGAGGACTCTTTTTAATCTAGGCTTTGGAGCAGCCAGTAGGAACCTGCTGGGTTCACACAGGGTTAAAAGATGTGTGATGTAATGACATGCCAGAACTATCCATGCTGCACTAAGCAGCATTTTATGTAAAAATACCATCACTGACAGCCCAAATCACCCTGTGTGATCACAACAGAGAACAGCATCCCATTACAGTGACCCTTAAGTTTTCCCTGAAAATATTTTTTCAGGGTGTGGTGACTGGCAGGAAACCCTCTCGGTGCTGCGGATGTGATGAATTACAATATAAAAACCTCCTAAACAGAGGGGAGTTACTAGTCCACCAGCAGTATCTGACAAAAGGCTGTGCCCACTATGTATTACTTAAGCACCAGCAAATTGTGGTTTGCTAGTGCTTAAGTAATACATACGCTATATTGGTTAGACTTATGGCCCATATATGCAGTCACTTTCTTAAATAGAGCAGTGGGTGAGTGCAGCCACCAACAATCTAAAAATGGCTGAACCTTTGCCAGCTCCACCTTAATGTGGTGTTAAAGTTAATACATTTCATTTAGTGACATCAGTACATGATGTGGTGTTGATGTCCTCAAACCTCTTGCTGTCATTTGGGGTCACCTCATAGAGACTTCAAAATATTTATCCTCCACAAATCATCCTTTCCTTTCTATACAAGCTTTGCTGTGCAGTATTGCAGTAAAATCCTAATTTTGAGAACAGGTAACCCATTCAAAGACACTAAATTCAGAGTCATATTGTTGCTCCAGTTAGAATCCGAGCAGCTACACTAGGCTGCTGATAGGACAAATGCAATCAAAGTTATATCAAGGCTTACTTGCTGAAAGAACATATATGCTCAGTAAATCTTCCCTGGATAAAAAAGGTAACAAATCAGAAGCACTCCCAGTCCAGTAGGGAGTAGTTTCCATCCTTCATCAACAGTAACATTGGTTATACTTTATCGAGATGAGAGACTCTCTACATCGTAGTTAACTCTAATACAGCTCTGTGTACACAGGGTTGTAAACATAAAGCAAATCATCTTCTCATGATTGAAATTTAAGGCAAAATACTGACTCCAGCTGTGAGAGTGTAAACACACCAGGAGGTAGAGGTCCCATCACAGAGCTCAGTTAATATTTGCCTTTTCTTTTTTTTTTTGCTACTTGGGGACAGAGGCAACAAACTGTAAACAAAAC